CGGAATATCGTCGTTTTTGTGGCGCAATTTGTCCCATAGGAATGAATGGCAAAGCAGAGTGGAATGCCAAAAGCTGAAAAATCAGGACATGATTTCTAAACTGCCACCACTCCTTATTTTCAGGCCCACCTACACAAATCTTATATCAAAACGTTCAGCTATCCCTGCTGCCACTAAACATGTCAACGGCTGCTGTAGTCCTGATAGTTTTCACAATATGACCATTTGTTTGCAACCAACGCCGTCCATTGACATTCATTGAAACTTCACTCTGCAAAGCTCAAATTTGAAGTACAATTTCTAAACTGCGACTGTGCCTTCAATTTTAATACTTCAGAGACATACTATGCATCAAAATGTAGGTCTGGGTCTTGTGATTCTCACAATATAAAGCTCTTCACTGTAAGAGTTATAGTTTTTAAAATACGACCGTTTGAAAATGGCAACCGCCAAAATACTCTGACCTGTGCCAGGCTGCAGCAGCAAGTGATGTCATAGACAGGGCCTTTTGAACACCTGCTAATGTTTTTATAAATGTATGGTTTAAAGTAACTAAGCAACAACGTTGCAATTAAATGTGCTATATAAATGATAACAGTTACTCCGCCCACTCCAGTTGTAGACTACTGGTGGAGGCAAGAACATTTCACACAATTTCCCCAGAAATTGTAGCTTTTCTAGTTATTATTCTTATTATAGGGAAATTTACCACCCTAACTCCTCCCACAGTTTTTACACTTCATAGACAGTAATATACCGAAACGTGCGGATTGTTACCGATTGGATTGCTATTACTTTGTGGAACATTTCGCCGAATGGTTCACGGAGTATCGTCGTTCTTGTGGCGAAACCCCTTACTCACTGAGCTTGCTCACATTACTTGAAAGCAGCCTCTATTAAGTAGACTCTTTCAAGTAGGAGTTAGAAAACCAGGAGTTACTTGGAGTGGTTTGTATACTGTGTAGAGTGGTTTGTATACTGTGGAGAGTGGTTTGTATTGTATTTTATTTTTGTTTAATCTTTAAAGTTGGTAAGGTTTAAAAAAAAAAAATTGTTTTTTAAATTTATTTATTTTTTTTATTTTTTTTGGTGTTCTGGTTTTCCCCCCTTTTTTTGTGCTGCTGCTTGATTGATTGGGGGAGTGTTCATTGTTTGCACCTGTGTGGGATTTGTATCACCATAAAGGCACACCCCTAACTCACTGAGCTTGCTCACATTACTTGAAAGCAGCCTCTATGAAGTAGACTCTTTCAAGTAGGAGTTAGAAAACCAGGAGTTCAAACTAACAAGGGGTTTAAACTAACAAGGTAATTGTTTTCATTTTCTGTTTCTGGGGAAATGAGTGTTAGCAAGATTGCTGGTTTGACTCAATGCACATCTTGTTGCATGTATGGATGCCTGGATGTACCCGTCCAGGGTCCATACCTCTGTGATGGTTGTGTGCGAGTGGCTTCTTTGGAAGCTCAGATTGGAGATCTCGAGAAGCAAATCGCAACATTGAGGGAGACTGACAATCTTGAGAGGAGTCTACTGCTCACTGAGCAGAGTTTAGTGGGGACAGGTAGTGGAGAGGGAGGAGATAAGACAGATGGGGAACAGGCATGTAGCTGGGTGACAGTGGGGCGAGGAAGCAGGGGGGGAGGGAAGAGGAAAGGGCTAGCTAGTCCTGATTTGGTGCAACCTAGCAGATTTGCCTGCTTGAGGGAAGATGTTGGGAGCATCAGCTCAGGAGTAGCTGTATTAGAGGAAGCTGTTACTTCTAACAGCCGAGCTAACAGCCCCCCTAGTACGGGTGGGGATCAAAATGTTAGGAAGGCGAGACAGGTTGTGGTGGTAGGGGACTCTATCATTAGGAGAGCAGATAGGGCAATCTGCCGCTCTGATCGGCTCAACCGGACAGTTTGCTGTCTCCCGGGTACTCGGGTCCGGCATGTTGCTGACAGAGTGGATGGATTATTGGGAGGGGCTGGGGATGACCCAGCGGTCATGGTCCATGTTGGTACCAATGACAAAGTAAGAGGAAGATGGAAGGTCCTAAAGAATGATTTCAGGAATTAGGTAGCAAACTTAAGAAAAGGACCTCCAAGGTGGTATTCTCTGAGATATTACCTGTGCCACGTGCTACAGTGGAAAGGCAGCGGGAGATTAGAGAGGTCAATGCGTGGTTTAAGTCTTGGTGCAGGAAGGAGGGTTTTGGGTTTTTAGAGCACTGGGCCGACTTTGTGATTGGGTACAACCTTTATAGTGGTGATGGATTGCACCTAAACGGGAGAGGGTCTGCAGTGCTGGGGGACAGGATGGCTAGAAGGTTGGAGGAGATTTTAAACTAGTATTAGGAGGGGAGGGACATAGCAATCTACAAAATGGAGATAGGACAGAAAGGAGATGGGCTTTAGCACAGTATAAGGGGGGTGGAAACGGGGGGAGGGGCAAGCTCAGTACAGAGAAGCTGTGTAATGTTGAAAATTCACAAAATATACAAGTGACGCATAATATTAAATGTATGCTTACTAATGCAAGGAGCCTAAATAACAAAATGGGGGAACTAGAGGCATTAGCATACACTAAACAATATGATATAATAGGCATAACTGAAACATGGTGGGATGAGACACATGACTGGGCAGCTAACTTAAATGGGCACATGTTATTTAGGAAGGATAGGAAAAACAAGAAGGGTGGTGGGGTACGTTTGTATGTCAAACATGATTTAAAGCCAAATGTTAAGCAAATGGAATGCAAGGAGGATAATGTGGAAGCTTTATGGGTAAATATCTGCTTGGGGGAAAAGAAGGGAAACCAACTATTGGTTGGGATATGTTATAAACCACCTAAAGTTAATATTGACGAGGAACAACAGCTGTTTGAGCAAATTGAGAAAGCTGCAAATCTGGGTAACACTTTAATTATTGGAGATTTTAATTACCCGGATATAAATTGGGACAAAGGGACTAGTGCCTCAGCAAAGGGAATTAGGTTTTTAAACTTGTTAAATGACACCTTCTTGTCACAACTTGTGCAAGCACCAACTAGAATGGATGCTTGTCTGGACCTGGTTTTAACAAACAACGTTGATCTTTTGACCAACATTCAAGTAGGTGAGCACTTGGGAAATAGTGATCACAATATAGTGTCCTTTGAAATAAACTCCAAAAAACAAAAGCACATGGGGAATACTAAAACATATAATTTTAAAAAGGCCAACTTCAATAAGTTAAGGGAAGCTTTACAATATATTGACTGGCATAAACTCTTTAGTGAAAAGAACACTGAGGATAAATGGATCATCTTCCAACAAATATTACAAAGGTACATTTCTCAGTATGTACCGCTGGGAAATAAATATAAAAGAAACAAATTAAAACCAATGTGGCTTAGTAGAGAAGTAAAACAAGAGATTACAACTAAGAGAAGGGCATTTAAAGCATTTAAATTGGACAAATCAGATGCATCTTATAAAAGATATAAGGATGCAAATAATGCGTGCAAAAAAGCAATTAGACTTGCTAAACTTCAAAATGAAATAATGATAGCTGAAGAGAGCAAAACCAACCCCAAAGCATTTTTAAGTACATAAATTCTAAAAAAAAACAAAATGAAAGTGTAGGTACACTAAAAACTGAAACGGGGGTGTTAAATAATGAAGACCAGGAAAAGGCAGGAATTTTAAATAACTATTTCTCCTCCGTATATATTAAGGAAGAACCCATGGCAATAGATGTGCAAATGATTGCTACTAAAAACTTGCAGAATAATTGTAATTGGTTAACTCAAGACAAGGTGCTGCAGCAACTAAAGAAAGTTAATATAAACAAAGCTCCAGGGCCTGACGGCATCCATCCACGTGTACTTAAGGAACTAAGTGCAGAAATAAGTGAACCTCTGTTTTTAATCTTTCAAGATTCTTTTCTTTCAGGAAGTGTTCCGGAGGATTGGAGGAAGACAGATGTAGTTCCTATATTCAAAAAGGGTTCAAAATCCTTGCCTGGAAATTATAGACCTGTGAGCTTAACTTCTGTGGCTGGTAAAATATTTGAAAGGTTATTAAGGGATAATATTCAAGAATTAATTGAGAAGAACATGGTTATCAGCAAAAATCAGCACGGTTTTATGAAGCACAGGTCATGTCAAACTAATTTAATTGCGTTCTACGAAAAAGGAAGTAGAAGTATAGATCAAGGTGTTGCAGTAGATGTGATCTATTTGGATTTTGCCAAGGCATTTGATACAGTTCCACACAATAGATTAGTGTTCAAACTCAAGGAAATTGGTCTAGATGAAAATGTTTGTTCTTGGGTAGAACATTGGCTTAAAAACAGAGTACAAAGAGTTGTCATTAATGGTACATTTTCAAGCTGGACAGAGGTGGCAAGTGGTGTCCCTCAGGGGTCTGTTCTGGGACCCCTTCTATTTAACATGTTTATAAATGATCTTGAAGACCGCATTGAAAGTCATGTTTCAGTGTTTGCAGATGACACAAAACTTTGTAAAACAATACAATGTGAGCAAGATATTACTTTGCTGCAGAGGGATTTAGATAGACTGGGGACTGGGCACTCAAATGGCAGATGAAATTTAATGTTGAAAAATGCAAAGTTATGCACTTCGGCGTAAAGAATACACAAGCAACGTATACCCTTAATGGAAGTGAATTAGGGATAACAACACATAAAAAGGACTTGGGAATTGTTATAGACAACAAACTATGCAACAATGTGCAATGTCAATCAGCAGTGGCCAAGGCCAGTAAGGTATTGTCATGCATGAAAAAGGCATTCATTCTCGGGACAAGAATATAATTTTGCCTATTTATAAATCACTGGTAAGACCACATATTGAATATGCTGTGCAATTTTGGGCACCTGTTCTAAAGAAGGATATTATGGCACTAGAAAAAGTGCAGAGGCTGGCTACAAAATTAATAAAAGGAATGGAACATATCAGCTATGAAGAAAGGTTAACAAATTTAAACCTATTTAGTTTAGAAAACGTCGCCTGAGAGGGGATATGATAACATTATACAAATATATTCGGGGCCAATACAAACCATTGTGTGGAAATCTATTCACAAACCGGACTTTACATAGGACACGAGGCCATGCGCTTAGACTGGAAGAAAGAAGATTTCGCCTAAGGCAAAGGAAAGGTTTTTTTACTGTAAGAACAATCAGGATGTGGAATTCTCTGCCTGAGGAAGTGGTTTTATCAGAGTCCATACAGATGTTCAAACGGCTACCAGATGCATACTTGCAAGAACAGAATATTCAAGGATATAATCTTTCAATGTAGGGTAATAACTGCTTGATCCAAGGATAAATCTGACTGCCATTCTGGGGTCAAGAAGGAATTTTTTTCCTAGCTTGTTGCAAAATTGTGCTTCAAACTGTTTTTTTTTTTTGCCTTCTTTTGGATCAACTGCAAAAAACAAATGTGAGGTAGGCTGAACTTGATGGATGCAAGTCTCTTTTCAGCTATGTAACTATGTAAATTGGTCCCATAGGAATGAATGGTAAAATGTTCAAAACTAGAGTGGGAGCTGGCAAAAGCTGAAAAATCAGGACATGATTTCTAAACTGCCACCACCCCCTCATTTTCAAGCCCACCTACATAAATCTTATATCCAAACATTCAGCTATCCCTGCTGCGACACGACGTGAGTTGCAAACAAATGGTCATATTGTGAAAACTATCAGGACTTAGCCATAGCCTTGATAGTTTTCACAATATGACCATTTGTTTGCAACTCACGCCGTCCCTTGACATTCATTGAAACTCCACTCTAGCCAGCTCAAACTTGAAGGGCAATTTCTAAACTGCGACTATGCCTTCATTTTTAATAGTTCGGAGACATACTATGCATCAAAATGTAGGTCTGGGTCTTGTGATTCTCACAATATGAATCTCTTTGCTGTAGGATGTATAGTTTTTAAAATACGACTGTTTGAAAATGGCAACCTCCAAAATACTCTGACTTGTGCCAGGCTGGAGCAGCAAGTCATGTCACAGACAGGGCCTTTTGTACACATGCTAATGTTTTTATAAATGTATGTTTTAATGTAACTGTGAAGCACTTTGGGCAACAATGTTGCAATTAAATGTGCTATATAAATAAATAATAACAGTTACTCCTCCCACTGCAGTTGTAGACTACTGGTGGAGGCAAGAACACTTCACACAATTTCCCCAGAAATTGTAGCTTTCTAGTATATATATTAATATCAAAATACACGTAGAATGATATTGATTAAGACAAGACACGTGGGGGGTTACTGTTTTACTCGGAAGACTTCGCTGAAAACAAATTACAACGATGGTATCGTCAGTGAAAGTGCCATTTATGTTTGAAGAATGCAAACAACTTCACTGTTACTGACAATATCATTACTGTGATATGTTTTACTGTTTTGAAACACAAATATTTGTGTTCATCTAAGTCTCTGCAGTAAAACAGCACCCTACATGTACAGGTTTTAGGGTGTCTTGGAAAGTTACATGGGTAAATATAGTGCTAGCAAATTAAATTCTCTGGACTTTTGGCCTGAGTTGTCAGGGAGGTCCCCCAAATTGCAATCAATAAAATTACTTAATTATGTAAAAATATAACATAAATATGCACATAGAATTTAACTATATATACATATGTATCTATTTGAAGTATACGTGTACATTTATGAAATTATTTATGTAATGATGTATATGTACATATGTATATTTTGTAATATTTTTATTTATTTATTTATATATACATATATATATATATATATATATATATATATTCCATTCAAGTTGATTTTGATATCAATATATATATATATATATGTGAAAATACAGTTAAAATAAAATTACAGGAAAGATGGGCACAAAAACGACTACCCTGAACACTATAACCATGCCAGCAATACAAGATGCCCCAAAATTGATACAGGACCACACGTGGAACAGGACGATACCTGTCATGCACCGAAACACAGAGAGAGCACCCGGACCAGCCACAAGGCCTAAACTGGAGCGGAGCCTGAAGCTTGGTGGAGGCGGACGATCTCCCGGCATGGGATCTGCTCACATCGGATGACGCCCTGCTACCCCTCCCTCTGGACCGGCGGGGGATATCCCGGTCCTCGCTGGAGACAAATACCCCCACAACGCGGCTCACACAAGCAACTAAACCAGCCAACAACTGAGATTACAAGGACCCAAGCAAGATGGCGGCAAAACACACTCTCGCCAAGCCGCCCAAGCTGACGCTGGAGTTCTTTGACAGGCTGTGTGCCTGCATATGGTCAAAGCTCCACACCAAGGGTCGGAGCTACAACCAAGCGACACGAAGGGCGGCAGCGTGGATCCGCCCCGTCCACCCAGTGCCTCCTAAATAGATGCCCACCCCGAGCCCCAGAGAGGCCTCCAGACTGGGCATACCATGGAGCTCCAAAACGCAAATGGGGACTTGCCTCCCAGACTCCGGCACCCACCCTCACACACACCAGAGGGAGAAAACCGCCCGACTTAACCACCACCAGTGATGCCAGATCCCTCTGGCCAACGCAGCATAATACCACACTCACAGACCCAGATCAACAGCCACAAGACTTACCGAAATGGAGCACACCTTCCTATCAGCGAACGACGCGGGCAGAGAGCCCCTCCAGGTCAGATAAGCGACGGGATGTGGTTGCAGCTGCAGCAGCGACCCCACCAGTGCCCAGGGCTCACATATCGGGACTCCAGGGTCGGCATCGGCTAAACTAGATGATCAGCACCGGAGACGGACTATGCTTCCACTGCGGAGATAACACAAGGTCATCCCGACAAGGCCATAAATTACACGCTGTCATCCCGCATAATGTTAACTATATTTACTATCATAATAAGCACTGTTTGAATGCTGTATTGATTTCCACTGTTAAACATGTCCTTTATTCTGGTATTGTTTTGCATATTTATAAGACAAGCCTGCAGACCTGGCACTACAAAATGCCTACTTAGCCTGTATACATCCCTACCACACAGGCTTACACTATACCTAACCAGCAGCTTTTGAGTCTCATGCATCTCACGTACATAAAATAACCACACGTCTCACCGCATTGTTGCAGCCTAATACCGAAGCATAGCAGGTATCTCACACGGCAAGCCAGAATATGTAAAAATATCATACTCTTACACATCAGCAACACTTGACAAGCATTAAGCTACTTCCCTGAGACACTAACATTACACCAATCAATACCAACCTGCAAATGTATGTAGCTTGAACCAAAACGTTTATTATACTACAAAATAGTGCAGGTTATTCTACTACCCTGTCTGTTAGCACACTTAAAACTACATCTACTGCAGAACCATGTGTAGCCAGAATCTAGGAAGGGAGTGTTTAACCCTGTCTTGCATACTGCCTCGCCCTAGCCTGATTGTTACCCCCATTATCAACGACGTTATTTTATGTTATGGAAGAGACTAAGTAATGATAATACACACTGTTTATTACTCGACGTAATCATATATATGTATAAAAATGTGCTAGACTTACCACGTACCTCTATGCCTTACTGTTTGAAATGCGCTAGAGGATTGCCTTTGGGGTACCTCACAAGCGACTGTACACTACAAAAATAAAGAATTAAAAAAATTTTTTAATTACACACATATATATATATATATATATATGTATATTTATATATATGTATATATTTTTATTATTTTTACATTTTTTATTTATTTTTTATTAAGTATTATTTATTTTTTATAATAATATATAGACAATAGTTATTATATATTTTATATATATATATATATATATATATATATGCATGTGTAATTTTACATTAATATATATATATATATTAATAAAATAATTCACTTATGTATATATTAATAAAAAAGATATATATATATATATATATATATATATATACATATTTCTTAACATTATTTTTTATTTTAAATATTTTTTTTTTACTTTTTTTACTTTTTTCACCAGCAGGGGGACTGCCTGTCATTTCAGGCAGTCCCCCTGCAGGCAGCACTATGGACACCTATTGCGGCCATGTGACTGCTTTTTCAGAGCGATCACATGGCCCGCTTGGGCCTAATTTGCCGAGGAGGTACTGTCTGGGCTGTCACACAGTCCCCAAGATGGATAGGAACACTGATCGCCGGCAGGGGAATGGCGGCGATTAGGTAAGTAAATAGGAATACCGCGGACGTACTAGGTTCATTCAGATGTGTCACTTTTTAGTCTAATAGGCTCTATTAGATCCATAAATTAATAAATTATTTTATTTTTGTCTTATTTTTATATATTTTTAGATATATCTCTTCATATTATCCCCTTTAGATTTGAGCCTATTTTAATGTATTTGATGTCACATGTATTAATTTGCAGTATTTTTATATTTATTTTTGTTTCTATCCATTTAGTTTTTATGAGATCGGATTTTTCTTTTTCTCCTTTTTTGGCCATATGGTAAAATTAATGTTCCTATATTTGTAATGTAAGATTGATTATCTACTCCTTTTATTCTCCCATTTTTTTATCGCCCGGATAGGCCTTTTTAAAAAAGGTTACTTATTTGGGAATACAAAGTAAGAGTGAATAGGAATATTGCTGCTGGAACGCAATAGGAATCCAATGAAGAATGAAAAGAATGATATAGTATCGGATGTGACAGGATTTAACATAATTGGCAAGTCAAAGAAGGGAGAATGAGGTTTGATACGCAAACCCGGAAGGGATGAGATGATGTCATACAAGAATGATGTCGGACTAGAATACTCAGAAAGAGGTTTATGACGCCACACAGGACTTATGTGTCCACGAGGATAGGCTGCATGCTGCCCAGCTGAGGAAGCCAAGGAGTAACCTGGCAAAACACGTCCTGGAGACTGTAAGGATTTCTGAACATTGCTATTGTAGTGTTTTTAAATTTTATTTCTGCAGAATTTTATTTACAATACATTTTTTTGCTGGGATACACCGTATAATAAATTGTTACTTTACATTACACCTTTAGCATCCAGTTACTGCTATAATTCAAGAAAGAGTAGTCCTGAACTACACACTATGCTGTACTTGAGCCTAATATGATGGCTCCATGCTTGCGAGTACCCATTTCATTTGTTTATAGCTACACAAACATATGCAGCAATATTGCACTATATATATCCCTTTCTGAGCCTATATATAGGATGATATATATCTGCTGTTTCCACTTGAGCTAGGTTTATATCTCAGGAATATGTTCCTTATGTATTTTTCACTTTATACTTGGTTTTAAGATTTTACACTATTAGATGTCCCTATTTTTTATAGGTACATTGTCTTTTATATTGAAAACGCTCATCAGCCGTTGCTTAAGGGTACTTGCCTTCATTATAATTTTTCCAAAATAGCACTACACCATACTTGGTATTGGATATTGAATGTGTGTATTTGGAGAGACTACACTTGGTGTTTTAGCAGCTTAACTAGAAAATTATTTTTATAAGCACTTGCACTTTTGTAATATCAGAACATTTTTTAATTAGCGCTGGTATACTACATCTTGTTTTACTTAACTGGGCAGTTTAAAGCAATGAAAATTCAATTGCAAAACTTGCTGATTTAGAGCAGTGTTCTGCTACCTTTTAACATCTGCGTCCCGACGGAAAGAGGAGGAATATTTTGCGGACCGGCGTCCGCCAGAAATAAAAACCAATGGTATGTGTGAGGGATGTAGTGTGTGTGTGTAAGGGAGTGCAGTTTGTGTGTGTGTAAGGGGTGCAGTTTGTGTGTGTGTGTTTGTGAAGGATGCAGTTTGTGTGTGTGAGAGGTACAGTGTGTGTATGGGGGTCAGTGTGTGTGTATGGGGGGCATTGTGTGTGTATAGGGGCAGTGAGCGTGGGAGTATGGGGGCAGTGTGTGTATGGGCGGCAGTGTGTGTATACGGGGCAGTGTGTGTGTATGAGGGCAGTGTGTGTTTGCATGGGGGGAGGGTTGTGGGGGGCAGTGTGTGTGTGTTGCAGGGGCAGTGTGTGTGTGTATGTGTATGGGGTCAGTGTGTGTGTGTGTGTATGGGAGGCAGTGTGTGTGTATAGGGGAGAATTATTGAGGGTCTGTGGGGTTGGTCTGTGGGGTTGGAGGGTAGATTGATAAATATATATTTTTTTAATTAAAACAAATTCATAATTTTGGTATCCCCCCTCCCTGCTTACCTTTGCCTGCAAGGGGGGACAGTACAAGGCAATTCCTGGTGGTCCAAGTGGTGAGAGTAAACACTAGCAGCTCAGGCTAGAGTTCACTCTCGTGAGATTCTGTTGCCACACTGTTACCACGGCAACGCTCTGAGCTCGCAAAAAGAGAACCCGGCAGAGCTGCAGGTTAAAGCTCCCCGGGTCCTCGCTTCCTCCCTCCTCTGCTGGCTGCCAGCATTACACTGCTAGCGGGCCAGAGAGCACCACCGGTTGAAGACCACTGATTTAGAGGACAGAAG